TGTGAAACTGAAGGACAGCGAAGAAGCAAAGACAACAAGTGAGAAGTACAAGAAGCTTCAGGAGAGGAACAAGCATGACCACTGCCTAAGGATAGGAGGGTATAAAGGAAAAGCCGCAAAGTGGGAGCAGGAGGACAGGGAGTTAGCCGCCCAAGGCATCAGTAATCCTCAGGACTAGTTTCTAGGTGGCCGCCCAATGAATTTTCTGTGTGTACGGAGTACTTTGGTTAGGTCAGAAGGAAGTGCTGAGATTCGTTGGTTGAAAGATTCAGCTGAAAGTGTATCTAAGCTAATTTTAGAGAAGCAAGGAGCCCTTGAGTCTTTAGGGTTCTCTTTGGTTAGGGAAAAGGATGTGCTCATAGAGGTCTTAGGTAGCCCAGAACAGACAGGCCGCATGTGTGGTGTGTCTAGTTACAGTGGTTGGAAGCATTGGTCGGACTGCATCGGCATGTACAGAAAGAGGAAGCAATCAACAAGTGATGTGGATGTGGAAGCCATCAAAGAAGAAGTTAAAAGCCCAAGTGACAGAAGAAATTACCAAGAAGGTAACAAATGATATCATGGCCATGCTACGTGACCAAGGAGTGCATTTGAGGTCACCTTCCAACACCCCTAGCCCTATAGGTGGTCAGAAGAGTAGCTGTGCCTCAGCCTCAGATGCAGTCGGAAGAGACTACTTCGACAGACTTGAGGTAACTCCAGATCTAGATAATGTGGACCTTCTGACAGAGCCAACACTATGTAGCCTAGTAATCAACCCTGGATGTTATCAGATGGAGGTAGCAAGGGGTCGGGTCTTCCCAGCGCAAACTGACCTATGTTCACAACCACTAATGGAACATTATGTCATTGTACATACTGACTATGTACATCTAGAACATGAGGACAAACCGCTGAGTCCGCCCCTAAGTCCTGAGGTAAGAACTCTTGGACAGGCTCTATACAAGAGGGTCCAGTGGAGGAGAGGCTAGATTGTGGTATCACCAAAGGTGCTCTCTTCTCCAAAGTTATCAAGACATCCACTGCCTGTGAGCTCCAAAAGCAATCTAAAGGACTTTGTGATAGGCGATGAGAAGGCGAAGAGTAGTGCCTCTAAGAGTGCAACTGTTGACAAGCCGAACAGTGGCACTACTGTAGAAAAGAGTGCTTCAAAGGAGACTGATGCAGCACCAGAGCAACCTAAGTCCACAACTGCTCCAGCTGACCCACCGACAAAGCCGAAGAAGGCTAAGTCCACAACTACTCTAGCTAACCCACCGAAATAGCCTGCGGCAGTCAAGAGTGATAGCAAACTGGAGCAGCAACAGAAGGTGGAGAAACCCACCAAATCGTCTAAGAGTGACCCTGGGGGTTTTGTATGGAACAGGGCCAACGCCAAGTTCAAATTTGGAGAGCGATTCCTATCAGAAACAGAGCTTGAGAAGGCAGGACCTAGGTGTGTTGCTCTTCATGCTTGGTACATGAAAGAATGTGAAGAGAAGAGGACAACCGGGATGGTTGCCGTGTTCAAGAAACAACATCTTTGGCGTCTGGCAGACACTGAGTTTTTCGCCGTGGGATTAGAAGACTTGTTTGACCTCTTCAAAGTTGATGGATTGGATGTAGGACTTCTTCGCGTGTTGTCACTATAAGTACAATTTCATCTATTTTCTGGGCTTGTTCATTTTTAGCTAGGGATGTTCTTCATATATTTGCTTGCTAAATAGCTTTTGTATGCTTGCTTGATTGTAGAAGCTAGGGCCAAAGATGTGCCTGTTGGCATTATTGATTCAGATCCAGTGTCAATAAAGATTATGAACACTGATAGAGGCTATAGCGTGGATTATCTAGAATATTGCCTAAGGAAATATGCCAAGAAAAAGTTTGTGATGTTTGCACAAAACTGTGGTGGGCACTGGATTGCTGTCATCATCGCTCGAATATGGCAGAAGGTGATATACCTCGACTCCAATAGAGGCAAGAAATTAGATTTGACTCCTATCAAATCTGTGATAGATGAGTGAGTATTGTCTAACCTACTATTGACCCATGTATTTCTTTCTTAATTATGTTAGTGGAAGTAAAAAAAATTGATAACTCATGTATGTGTAGGGCTTTTGGCAATTGCCAACCCAAGTCGAAGAAAGGGCAGAGACAATTGAAGTTGACCCATGCATTCAAAATTCCAGTAAGTAGTGCTTCACTTCCAGTTTGTGAAGTTGTTTTGTCAATTCAATTATTAACCATGTGTTTCCTATGTTCGTAGTGCCAGCAGCAAGGTCTGGACCACACATATGGGTTCTTTGCAGGCCACCACTTGATGCTGGCGATGGCACAGGCCAATCTGACTGATCCTCAGGTACAACTGCAAATATATATGTATTTATTACTGCTCAGCTGTTGTGATCTACTTGGAATATCTTGATCCCCTCTTGTTGTCATATATACTGTTGTTGTCAATTTTTTGAACTGCTGCTGTGATCTAGAACAAGATGAAGCTGCTGCTGTGATCTGCTGCTATGACCCTTTTGTAGACTATGGCTGGCTTATATATATTTACTTGTATTTTTTGGTACTGCTATTGTCATATATATATATATAGTCATCTTTTGTTGTGCAACTTTATTTTATGGATGATGGTTATACACATGTGCAACTTCATCTTATGACTATCTTTCTTTGTCTTAGGATTTTGAAGTGCAGTCCACTCCAATCAACTCTGCGACCATTAGAGAGAAGCTCGCCTCGTTTATTGTGTCGTAGATCCTGACAAAACAGGCGAGTTTCATTGTTCACATACACAACCATGATAAAGTGCCTGGTATATATGTTTATTTGATCTGTGAACTGTGTTTGGAGCCTGTGAGATACAATTGGAGCTGTGAGATATATACATGTGAGAATAACATGGTGATGAACAATCGATCTGTGAACTGTGTGTGATGAACAATGTGTGTACCGTGAACAAATTAAGTTTTGAGATGAACAACTGCGATCTTGTATATATATGTCATTTCTGTGAGATCTGTGTATATCTGTGTTGTTTAGGCTGTGCTGTGGGCTACAGACGGCTATAGGCTATAGACATGTCTGTAGCATTTTCCTTACTACAGACGCGTCTGTAGCCTAGACCCGTATGTGGTAAGGAAAATACTACAGACACGTGTAGAAAATACGAGTCTGTAGTATGGTAATTACTACAGACGCGTTTACAAACATCGTCTGTAGTAGTATCCTTACTACAGACGCGTGTATTGTACACACGTCAGCACTATGTTTCTTCACATAGACACGTTTACAAATGTCGTCTGTAGTAGTATTCTTACTACAGACGCGTATAACAGACACGCGTCTGAGATATGGTTCTTCACACAGACGCTTCTTAATCTTGTCGCGGACGCGTGTTGGCAACACGTGTCTCTAGTAAGAGCTTACTGTAGACGTCACCAGACTCTGCTAAGGGCTTATCATATACGCGTGTTCGTTTTTGTCACAATCGTGTATTGATACACGTGTCTGTAGTATGTGCTTATTACAGATGCACTTTTTGCGCCTCTGTAATAAGCCTTATTACAGACGCGTTATGACAGGTGCGTCTATGATGTGCCTGAACGTGCGTATGTGATGTGCTCTTTTTACATAGTGTAATTCATAAGACCACACAAGGGAGCTAAAGTGATAAAAAATTTAGTCACTCAAACTAAACTTTAGACTAGGATCAAACAGACCTTTATTTAATTAAGTTGGAGTTTTCACTAGCTCCGGGTTTATCACCGTAGCACAATTACATGATTCAAACAACTTAGATAGATAGCCTTTTCTCATTCATTTTAGTTTTTCTTAATTTAATATTTTATTTTTGCAAATAAATTTGTTTCATGGACTTGTTGATGTAATTTAAATTGTTGCATCACCATAAAATGTAATGGTGTATGTTATTTTATTTGTTCTGACTATTCTCACGATTGTATTAGAAATGGACTCGGTGTTGTAAGTTGCTACATCATCATAAAATCAAACAGTGCATGTTCTTTTATATTTTTTATTAGTGATCTCAATATTATTAGGCATTGATTTTTTTTTCTTTAATTTCATCTAAGCCATAAGATCACCATAAAATCCAATACCATACGGTTTCTTTCTTTCTTTGGATTATAATGCCATAGTTGTATTTGGCACAAACTATTTTGTTTGATCTAAGCTGTTATATCATCATAAAGTTTTTTAGGTCCTCTTAGGTAGCGTTGTGGCTTTTATAAGGTGTAGACTATTTGGTTCAATCTGAATTGAACCGGTCTATGTTATTTTATTATTTTTTATTACTCTCGTAATTTCAAGGCATCTTGGTGAAGGTGATCATATGTTTTACTAGTAAACACGCATCTTGGTGAAGGTGATCCGTTTATCTACACTGATTAGAGGTCAAGGCAAGTGAAACAGAAACAGTCAATGCAAGTAGCTGACCTTTGCTTGTGTCACACACTCTGTTCACTTGATCGTTTCTATGGTTTATAAATCAGCTGATGTTGTTTTATTATGAGACAAAAACACTATATCATAACTGATACGATCGAGCTAACAGGTGACAATCCGCCTAACGAATCCGCCCCAACTTCAGCTGTTTGCAGTTTGCACTCAAGCTAGAGGCACCATCCCGTTTGTTCCCCCGTACCCACTCTGCAGTGTGGAGTCCCCACCACTCAAGCTCGGGACGGCCTACTCCACCAAAAGTGAAGGGCCCCAAAACCAAAAGGCCAAACAAAAGCGAGAGCAAAGCAAGCTTCACCTCCAGCAGCAGGTGGAGAGCTGCTCCTCCTCGCTCCAAGCTCCTCTGCACCCAGATCCCGCGCACCCAGCGCCAGATCAGAGATCAGGGCGCGCCGGTGGTCTCCATTGCCCGCGGATCCTGCGATGCGATTTGGGCCGAGAGGGAGGAGCGAGGGAGCGCGCGGGTAGAGAAGGCGGGGCGGGGGGAGGAAGGAAGGAGCGCCGGCCGGAGCAGACGTCCGTCCCCCCGGCGGATGAGGCCGACGATGAAGGCGCAGCACGGCAACGGGCGCGGGAGCAGGAGCCCCTTCCTGACGTCCTACGCGCTCACGCTCGCCTTCATCACCTTCGTCTCCGTGCTCTACTTCAAGGACTTCTCCTCCACGCTGCACCGCCCCTTCCTCAACCGCCCGCCGCCGCACCCACACCGCCGCCCGCTCCGCCCCCGCCCCCGCCACCACGCCTCCGACTCAGACGTAGCAAGCCAGGCTGGGCGCCGCGCGGCGGTAGAGCAGCTGCCGTTCGCGGTGGGCGCGGCGCCGGCGGGGTGCGACGTCGGGCAAGGGGAGTGGGTGTACGACGAGGCGGCGCGGCCGTGGTACCAGGAGGAGGAGTGCCCCTACATCCAGCCGCAGCTCACGTGCCAAGCCCACGGACGCCCCGACCGGGCGTACCAGCACTGGCGGTGGCAGCCGCGCGGCTGCTCGCTGCTCAGGTACGCTTTCCCCTGACCCCCCCTCCCCTCCCTCGCCGTGATTCCGTCTGAACAAGTGGCGGTAATTCTGATCCGGCGGACCGGTGCTGAATTAGCGTTAGGCCCTTGATCCAGACCGGATCGAGCGCTCTCGTTTCAAATTTCTTCCCTTTGATTGATGATGATGATGCTAGTTCTTCCTCAAAAGGATCATCGTTATTCTAATCTAATTAAAAAAAGAATGGCAAAAAAGAGTCGACCACAACATGGGATCGAGACGCGTGCGAACGGAGCCGACGGAAAACGGCGAGGTTTCGAGGCTTGCCTTGTCGCTTGTTGGCATACGCTTCGTTTTGGACGATCCAAGCGCGCGGCCGGTAGCGAGCGCGCGGCACGCGGGCCGCGGCGCAGGCGCCACGCGCCAGGCGGCGGACGCGCGAGTCCCCGGGTGGGCCTGGTGGCCCCGTCGCCGAGACCGTAACCCCGCAGTCGTAGGTGAGCAGGTAGCCAGCCTTAACGCCATGTATGGGGACATGTGGGATGTCGAACCGGCGGGGGCGTTGGTTTACTAGTTCGGGGGCGTTGGTTTAGTTATGGTCCAACCGTTGAGAACCGGGTTGAACCACTGGTTCGATTACTTTCGACCGGATGAATTGAATCTCTCCAAAATATTTCGAACTGGTGCAATATAATGACACATAACACATAATTAGGTACATATATTTTATCACATATACAAAAATAAATACAATCATAATGCGTCATAGCAAGATATGTCTTATAACTTAATAAGTTTCACAAATTTTGGTGCTCTAGTTATTTTACAGGATATATAAAAAATACGCTTGAAAAAATAACATATGGGGCACTTGCGATTTACGAATTGGCGCAAAAAGGACCTGAATAGTGATTGAAATATTCATCATGATTAAAAAAATTCTCAAATGTTAAAATAAAGTAAACCATTGCGAAGACCTTGTTCAGATAATTAAAACAGATATATTATTTGTCTAATTGAGAGCTCATATGAAAAGGTTAATAAATTTCGAAATTAAAAATACAGCGCTGACATCAATTGACATCTGCCAAAAGTCAACAAGCCTGCTGCATGCAACTTCCAAGCGTGAAACACAAAACGCGGAGCCAACAGCAGCCTAGCACTAGCAGGGCCTGGTTCACCGGTTCTGTAAAAAAACGGCCGGTTCAACCTATTTGTACCGGTTCGATTACATGAATGGTATTTTAAGTGCACCGGACCTCTATAGTCCCTGGTTCGGTCTTTTATCGGTCAAATCGTTGGTCCGATCCGATCCCAATAACTATGATGGGCGGTGGGGCGCGACAGGCCATACGGCGGGACACGGGGGCCATGCGGCGCCGCGTGCGGCTCGGGCTGCCGCTGGACGGCAACGTCGGCAATGAGATGCCAGCTAGCTGCAAATTGAATGTTGATGTGGGCAGTTCGCCAGTTCGGAGGCCCTCAGGCCTCAGCTCCGGCGGTGCACCGCCACCATGGGAGGCGCGAGCGCGAGATGTCATGTGCCGTGGGCACGGCCCACTCGCTGGTGCAGCCTCGCATGGTGGCTCCAGTTGGTGCTGCCCTGGCCCGGACGCCTGGTACGGGTTTCTTGGTTATTGATTGATGACTCCTAGCCCTGCACCCTGCGTGCTGCCGGGCGAGCAAGATTGCAGGCTGTCACGTGGGAGCACGAGGTTCGAGCAAGCAAGCCACAGAGGGACCGGCCGGCCGGCAGATTAGCCGAATGGTGTGGTCCGTCTGGCACGGTGGGGCCGTGCCCGTGCGGACATGCGTACAGCCGAGCCGTGGATGGGGAGCCTCCAATTGCACGGGCTTGGTTTCACGCTCCTTTCCCGTGGATCCGGTCTAAAGATTGTGCGACAGTACTGTACCGGTGCCAGTTTTGGTGCTTTCCTGTGCGGTTTGGTGCTTTGTTTCTATCCAACCTCATTTTCTCAGCTTTCAAAACTCTTATTATGTTATTGATTGATTGATGTGACGCTTGGGGATCCTGAGGTTGGTACAGTATGTGCCATGGAGTTTAGGGAACTGTTGTAGCTTATTATATGGATACATTTTGTTCATAATATAGTCAGCATAATTGATACTCCTACATATCTAGTATGACATTTAGCTGTGTTTATTTTCCCCTCCTTAACTTTAGCCTCTGTCATATCGGATGTTTGACACATGCATGGAGTATTAAATATAGAATAATTACGAAACTAAATGCACAGATTGAGACTAATTTGCGAGACGAATTTTTTAAGCCGAATTAATCCATGATTTGACAACGCGGTGCTACAGTAAACATGTGCTAATGACGGGTTAATTAGGTTTAATAAATTCGTCTCGCGGATTACTGAGGACTTGTGTAATTTGTTTTATTATTACTATCCGAACACTCGATGTGACACCCTATGTGACATCCGATGTGACACCCCTAAACTTTAGCCCCTGGATTTAAACACCCCTAAGTCTACTTGGATTACAATACTAGGTCTAAATCTATTACATTTGTAGGTGATGCATTTTGTTTATGAAGGTATTTTTAACTGAGATATCTATACTTCTAAGTACTAACAGTGGTATTTTTAGATGCGAAGATATAAGTCACATTTATGAAAAAGAAAACCCCATTCGACTTAGATGCAGATAGAGGTCATTGTTGCCAGCGATTAGTTATTAGGAGTCACGAGTAAATATTTGTAGAACAATTTAAGGCATTCTTTTATCATAGTGGTATTTATTTTCTTTTTGGAACTGTGCATAGCAATGTCTTATATCAGTGCTGCAATGGAATACAATCTGCTTCTTAACTGTCCTGTGCAGTTTTTGTAGTAATTAATCATCTTTTGATGCACGGTATCTTACTGGAAAATATCTTCTGTTGCAGCTTCAATGCAACTCTAATGCTAGAGATGTTGCGGGGTAAACGAATGCTGTTTGTTGGAGATTCTCTGAACCGTGGGCAATATGTATCATTGGTTTGCCTCCTGCATCGAAGCATCCCTGAGAGCTCCAAGTCAATGGAGACATTTGATTCCCTTACAGTTTTCAAAGCAAAGGTATTCCATTTGTATCTTTTAGTGTGACAAATGAAAAGCTTAGAAACAGAGTGAAGCATGGGCACATTGCTCAGAATCTGGTGCATCATTTTTTTCGCTGTTCAACGGACCAGCTGTGATCACCAAATATATCTTTGCTAAACTTTCTACCCAGGCATTTGTACATTCTTTTCCTTTTTTTTTCCTTGTACAGTAACTTTTTATTCTTGATGCATCAATACATTTGTCCAGTAGAGTATCTTCCCTTGCAAATTTTGCCTCAGAAAAAGACTCCGATTCATAAATGTTTTATATATATACTGGTAGAAGGAAATAAAATCTATTTTATTTGCATCTTTGCCTTTAGTATCTGTTTTTCTAGCTTTTGAGGTACATCCTTCTTTAGTTTCATCCATGCTGAAAAAATTAATGTTTCACGTTTGCTAGGACTATAATGCCACCATTGAGTTCTACTGGGCTCCCTTTCTGGCTGAGTCAAATTCTGACGATGCTGTTGTGCACCGTGTTGTGGATCGAATTGTAAGAGGAACATCCATTGAGAAACATGCCAAATTTTGGAAGGGGGCTGACATATTAGTATTCAATACCTACCTTTGGTGGATGACCGGACAAAAGATGAAAATTTTGTAAGTGTCTTCCTTTACTATGCCAAGTTTTTTCACCATCTGTTTCTAGCTGAAATTTCCTCATAGTTGAAAAATAGGCCGTGGAATTGACAGTTTGAAGAAATAATGTCTATTTTCTGTAGTCGGCATGAAGTCCCATATTTCTTATCCAAGCACCGTTTGGTTTCAGGCAAAACTCTTTTGAAGATAAAAACAAGGATATCATAGAAATGGAAACTGAGGATGCCTATGGAATGGTACTGAATGCTGTGCTGAAATGGGTTGAGAGCAACATGAACCCCAAAACTTCAAGAGTATTTTTTGTCACTATGTCACCCACTCATACAAGGTAAGCCGCTAGCGTGAATGCAGCAACCTCTTTCTATGATTCTAGTTTCAGAAGAACCACACATATATGGCATGGCTACGATTAATACGGGTTTGTTCTCTTGTTAATATAGGAGCAAAGATTGGGGTGATGATACTGACGGGAACTGCTACAACCAGACAACTCCTATCAAGGCTTTGTCTTACTGGGGACCAGGCACAAGCAAGGGCCTGATGCGAGTCATTGGGGAAGTGTTCGGCGCGTCCAAGATCCCCGTGGGGGTTGTGAACATCACCCAGCTCTCTGAATACAGGAAGGACGCGCACACTCAGATTTACAAGAAGCAGTGGAACCCGCTAACCCCGGAGCAGATCGCGAACCCAAAGAGCTATGCGGACTGCACGCATTGGTGCCTGCCAGGGCTCCAGGACACATGGAACGAGCTGCTCTACTCCAAGCTCTTTTTCCCCTGAGCTTAAGGTTGGGGCATCATCTGCAGGATTCGATAACGCCGATCGGTCACCCAGTCCCGTATTCCTTTTTACAGAGTGCAAGTTGCACTGTGAAGTTGGGACTGGGAGCATAGCATATCATCTGGGAGGCTCTCTGGTATTGGTACGCTGGAGAATAGTTAGCTTGACACATCATATAGGTCCAACATTCTGAAGAAGGCACACGGTACACGGGAGATGGAAGCTCTGCTGTAGTAGTTGATTTGATATATATGAGGCCGGCTGTCTATACTTTGTTGGCAAAGCTTCCACGTGGCCTGGTATTGTTGATGTACGATTCATTTATTGAACTTGAGCATGAGTGTTGGAATTGCACCAGGTGATCTTTTATATGTGCCTGATGATGTAGTGTAATTCTCTGATTCCTTTTTCTCTGTAATTCTATGAATCCTTTTCTCTGTTTTCTCTGTAATTTCAGCGCGCTAGCATCAGATTTGTCTCTTTTTTTTTTTTTGAGCAACAGCATCAGATTGTCTGATAGGCTGAATGTTGGAGAGCTGGCCAGCCCAAGTGACAGGCCTTGCGGAGTGGGCTGGAAGACAAAAACATCGGGCAAGGCCCAGCATAGTCCAAGTGACGAAGAACATAGGAAGTCCAAGTAACGAAGAACATAGGAAAAATTAGGAACCTTAGCCTCACCAGTCACCTCTCACCCATCTCTTCTCTCTGCTGCTCTCTTGTTCTGCGCCCTGTTGTTTGAACTTATCTGGCTTATCAATTATAGTACAGTATTTTTCTCACAACAAATCAGCATTAGCTGGCTTATTAGCCACAGAAGCCATGGTGCGGTTAGACAGAGCCTTCTTGTCGGTGTTTCGTAAACCGGACTAGTAAATTTTTACGATTGCCGCGCTGCTCTAGAAAGATAATGGTAGCATCCAAAAGACACGAGAATTTATACTGGTTCAGGCCGGGGCCAGACATCCAGTCTTAGAGATGATCGAGTGCGTGTTCCTCGCTTAAATGCTCTGAAGTTCTTACAATGGGGGTGCAAGAATGGTGGAAGAGGATAGAGAGCTAGAGCTAAGAAATTGACTGCCCGAAGAGAAGCTCCAGGAGCCCTAATACTATGGAGAATGAATGAAATGATAGAGGATGTGAATCATGTCCCTGAAGAGGGTGCCCTGGCTGCCCTTATATACAGTTCGGGGCTAGGGCATATACAAAGCAGTAGGTCACCCCGATCGAAGGGTTGTGAGCCTGAGGGAGGACCTAGCTAACTTGGCTTGCATGCTACGCCGTCTTGAGGTACATGTCCGGGCGTGATTGTCGTCATGTTCTTGTGGCCATGTCGCGGCAGGGTGTGGCGTGGTGCTATTGTGCAGGCCGTGGCGGTACTGTAGGCACGGTGGTGGTGCGCCAGCTGTCCTGTGCGACATGGTATCCGCCGTGGTCTTCGTCATCGTCTCCTGATTTTTTTGGGTGTCGTACGGGAGTTGGTAGCCGCCCCAGGTCGTCGATCATCTTGTTGGCTTGAATAGCTGGGGGCCTCGATCCCGATCGTTGGGGTCGTGGCTCCCATCAGTCTGAATAGCCTCTAAGTCAAGGCCCTCATCGTGGATCCCATCCCGTAGTGGGTGTAATCATACCTGCGTCTTGTCGGACCGTACTTGGACAGTGGGCTCTGTACCGGTTGTCACCGCCGTGTAGTGTTGTCTTTGTCTATGCAGCGTGGCACATGGATGACGTCTGAATGGATCGAGGTGACCGCTGTCCCCTCGGTCCTTACGGGGTCAGTGCGGCGTGCTTGTTCCTGTCAGAGCAGGCACGCTTCGCTGGGCTCGACCTCTCCCCGTTCCTTCCAGGGGTCGTGACGGGGGAGAGGTCATGCGCCCTTCGAGCGCCGTGCGGCTAAGGCAGGAGGAAGGGGGCGTGGGTGACCCCGGCCTGGTTTGCTTAGCTTAGCTGGGCCTCGGTCGTTCGGGTATTTGCTAGCTGATTTATTGTAGGCCGCGTGACCTACTAACTAATCGATGCCTTAAGACACCCCGGACACCCCCCGACACTTCTGCACCGCGCAGTGGGAAGTGTCTTTCCCAAACTTCACGCTAAGTGCGTTGGCGACCGGCGCCTCAGATCACTGCCCGCTCATACTAAACCGTCAAGACCGGATGTCAAGAAAGGCCTGCTTCAAGTTCGAGAATCAATGGTTGAAAGTCGACGGCTTCAGAGAAGTGGTGCAGGCAGCATGGGATAAGCCGCAGACGGGATCATCTTATACCATTCTGAGTAAGAAGTTAGCCGAGATTGCACGGGCTCTACGCGCATGGAGTAAGCCCCTGTTCAGCAATGCACGACTACAGCTACATATTGCAAATGAGGTTATATTGCGACTGGACATAGCTCAGGAAGACCGTAGCCTCTCAAGCGAGGAAATTTCCTTGAGACAGGACCTCAAGATCAGAATACTGGGCTTAATTAGCGGCACTACAGAGAAGCAGAAGAAGGCAGGCATCTAGAATCAACTACATAAAGTCTGGGGATGCATGCACTAGATTTTTCCACTTGAGGATGTCCGCCAGGAAACGAAGACAATACATTCCATCGCTCAAAAAACAGGATGGCACCTTGGCCTGGAACAACGATGGCAAACAGAAGGTCCTACAGGAATATTTCGAAAACCTGATCGGGAAGAAGGAACAAAGGCAAAGAACCTTCAACTGGCCAGGCGTTCAACTGAACCCATTGCAGCAGCTGCCGGGTCTGGAATTGGACAGACCGTTCACAGAGAGTGAAATCGAGCATGCTGTGAAAGGTCTACCAAATGAGAAGGCCCCTGGCCCCGATGGCTTCACCAACGATTTCTACAAGCAATGTTGGGACATAATCAAAATTGACATCCTCGTGGCCTTCAATGCCTTCCATATGCATCGCAATGGGGCATTGGAACACCTAAACCGTGCTGAGGTAGTGCTGCTCCCCAAGATTGAGGTGGCAACTGAGCCGAAGGACTTCAGACCAATTAGCATGATCCACTCATTTGCGAAGCTTTTAACGAAGGTGCTGGCAATAAGGCTGTCCGTGTATATCGATAAGCTGATTTCCAATGTGCAGAGCGCATTTATCAAAAAGAGATGTGTCGGGGACCTAATACCGGGTACCGCAAAGAGGAGGAATCAATGCACCATCGAACGGTAAAAACTCCTGAGAGCGCGGCTATATCTCTTGCCCGAGCAAACAGGAGTCTTGCTCCGCCTCGCCCGACCCCCGAGGGCTAGGCTCGGCCCCGCCCGACGGCTGGAGGACAACTCCGCCTCGCCCGACGGCTGGATAACAACTCACCCGACCCTCAAGGGATACACTCCGCCTCGCCCAACCCCCGAGGGCTAGGCTCGGCCCCGCCCGACGGCCGGGGGACACCTCCGCTTCGCCCGACGGTAAAAGCTAGGTTTTACCTCATCCAACGACCACTGACGGACCTCGTCTTAAACCGATATCCGGAGGCTGGTTCAGCTCACCTGACGAAACGTACCCCGCATCCTCATGATGGCGACTACAGGGTAAGACAAGACATTCGGGTCAACCACCGCGACAGACATCATGCCCTGCACCCCTGCAGAGAGGTACCGTCAGGATGTGGCGAAGCCAAGCACCTGACCTCTCCAGCGTGGCGAGCCCGAACGAAGTTGCGGCGCGCGCTGCTATCCATCCTCTGAGATTGTAGGCGCCACCGCAACCTCCTGGACGAAGAACCCGACGCAGACATACGACAACCCACTACGTTCCAAGGGCAAACCAACAACACCGCCACCCGACCCCCTCGGGGTCGGGCTCGGCAAAATCTGTCTGACACGCCGCGCGCCAGGGCGGATGGGACGTACCCACTTGCTAAACAAAGGCCATGGCACGGCCCACGACGATCTACATCACCTCACTCACTCGACACGGCCGCCATGATGGATAGGTCAGGCGTGGGGAAGAAGGAAGGCCCGGTCCCTCGAAGGACCTTCTCGCCCTTAGTGCTCTTTTTCCTTTGTCTCAGTAAACCCCCTCCCCCCTTGACCTATAAAAGGGAGGCGGGGCTCCCCCCAAAGGGGGGATCGATTACGAATAGGTTAACACACACACACACGCACCACGGCCAAGCTCCAGCAGAGCTCTTGGCGTCCTTCCAATCACTCCATCGTGGACTTGGGGTCTTTCCCTCTCCCAACCGTTTGTACCCCTACTACTTAACCTCATTCGGTGCTAATAACACGAAAGCAAAGAACAGATCGAACGTAAGGACATTCGGCCCGGCAAGATAACCCTTGTGTCCTTTAGCGCACCATCCGGGCCTAACGCGCATCAATTACAAATTTACTCGCCGGTGTTTGTTCGAAACACCAACAATTGGCGCGCCAGGTAGGGGCCTTTGCGCGTTCCAAATCAGGCCGCGGATGGCTAACCACGACATTAGCTGGGTCCCAGGCGCACACATGTGTTTCGGGAGCCCGGATTTCATCATCACGGGAGAGGAGATTTGGCATGGTCGCACGCCGCCATCCAATCTCTTCCCTCCAACGGCCATTACCATGAGAGGCTTGGGCGTCACCGACGCGTCCCACGGACCATGGGAGTCCAGGGAGAAGCAACATCGCCTCGCCATCGCCAACGGCGACGAAGATGGCGCGACCTTCCGTGAGAGACACCTCTCTCCGAACGACAGCAGTCGGAGCGCCTGACGGCGCTTCCGTTTGGTCTCCGCAACGCCAGCGGCGACATGAGCCATCTTCCGCACTACGCATGGTTCTAACGCCCATGGACAACGAGTTCGTGGGGTGATTGAACACGACACGGAGTCTCTCCACAAACTCCTCGCCAAGAGCTAGAGTCATCCTCTAGCTCCGACTCCAGCAGCGGGAGCCATCGTCCTTCCCGGGGATGCTTTGTGACGCAAACCCCCGAGGGACACGTCGAAAGCGTCTCCGGGGAGGAGACTACCCCCGCATTCGACCCCGCCGAGGCAACCCAGAGAGGAG